CCATGATGTGAAGTGATGCGCTGTCAAAGATTAGTTATTGTCTAAAAATATGTGCGCACACATTCTCGCATAGCATGTTCCACATCATGCCACCCTTCAAATTTAGATACCACCAGTACATCTCTTTTGCGTTTGTGGGATAGTAAGTAATCGTCCAAGAAGCAGTTCACGAAAATGACCGAGCGCAACTGCAAAAGCTTCCAGTTCCCTTACGGGCCATCTGCTCTCCTGTTTAGTAAAAGCATGCGATGCATACGCTAAAGGTAACAATTCATTCCCCGCTGAATATATACACATGCGCCAATCAAATTGCCGTTGCCAATAATTCACTCTGAGGCAACTTCCCTGCGAGAGACCGACTCATTTTATAAACCAGACTGCCCCTCGCATTCACACGCCCCAATCCATTAATACACTTGACGAAGAGATCAGATGCTGACCGACACAGCTTCCTTCAGAACGTTCCGATCTACCAGAACCTGCGACTACAGAACATGCTCCTAAGAATTGGACTGGAGTTGTCGTCTGAGGAAATAAAAAATCCGGCTACAAGAAGAGACTATTCGAGGCAACGTGATTTATTTATGGGCGGCTGTCCGGCAAAGGTCCCATTGTAAAACGTCAGCTTGATGTCATGTAAAGCATCGTCATAACTTTTCCTTTGTAATCTCCTGCATCGAAAATCGCACTGTGTCACGTTGTACCCTGGTCTCTTAAATACGCTATAATACCGTAGCAGATCTTCGGCGTAGGTATTGACGTGATTGATCTTTCCCCATCGAATTGACTTGCCCGATGGGGTAGTGACATCGGCCCAGAATGTCGCCTCAGGGCAATAACAATCTGCCCCTGAAATGTGCGGCTCACAGGGGTATCCGTAACTTTGACCACAGCGGTTCGGTCTGTAGCCGTCTAATCCGGGATATGCCAGCCCTACTTGGTGGACGTGTGCTTCGCTGCTCCGGAAGGGGTCTTCGCCAATCGACTCTACTAGCACCCATCCGCGCTGCAAGAACATGCGATATTCCGTATTCCCTTCGTTGCAGCGGAAGGAGCATTTGGCGGGCTTCAGGCGATGCACGACTGCTTCCCAGACGGTGGGGAAATCGAACCTGTACGGATAACCAAACCTGTAGCACTCCGATATCGAGCTCCGGTCATCTGTACAAATGACCCAGCCTCCGCCGTCAACACAATCGGACCAGTCGAGCTGCTCCCAGCCCTTCATGGTTGCTTCTATCAGTGGTGCCTTGAGATCAGCGAATGCCTCCCTACACGATCCCTCCTTCAGCACAGCTAACTCCTGTGCTGAAATCATTGATGCTCCATCGAATGAGGGCTTGATAGGTCCTACGCCACTCTTATCAACACCGGAACTGAAAACGAGAGCGCCCCGCGCGAGACAAAACAGCCCAAGAGTGGAAAGTTTTGTTGACGAATCAGGACGGCTGTACGACTGGCGGGTGGGCTGTTGATCCTGGATGGGGGTTGGTGGTGGCGTGAGTCGCGGTTCACACGACATCGGTCGGTGTCTGGACAACTGTATCGCCGGAGTTGTGTGTCGTAGCGTCGAACGGAGTGGGGCTGTAAGTTGGGGCACTGGGCGGAGAAGAGCTGTAATTTGCAGCGGCAGACCGAGTATTGCATCACGGAAGGCAGTAGGGTTGCCCGATTGTCGGACAACGGGCGCATGAACCGCTGTCTTGGGGCCCGTACAAGTAGGGTCCATACAAGTACGAAAGTCCTGTGGACAACCCCAGACCGCTTAAAGTACCAAGACTAAACAGACCTTTGACCAATGGCAGACGACATACCGTTCAGCAGTGGGTGCTTAATGGTACAAATATCGTTGAGACGGGGGGAATATTGAACTGAGGGAAATATCCAATTTGTCACCGGGATGCGGGATATTTGTGGTGGGGTTGACAAGACTGCGGGGAAGAGTGTGTGCCAATCCGCTCACCATAAGCTTGTAGACTACGGCATTGCGGGTTATCTTTTGCGACAGTCGCACGGAAGCCAAGACGATCCGATTCACGAAGAACCGAACGAATTGCTGCTAACGGAGGACAAGTGCCGAGATGCTCTACCGATCCCTGAGGGGTGCGAGCCCCCGGATTTGAATGTTCTTCAGCCGGTCGTTCTTCCTCCTGAAGTAACCGGCGGCATAGTTGCTGACGGCGTCTGGTACGAAGACCTGCGGCACAAGGCGTACTTTGAGTTCAAGCCCAAGTGTGGGCTGCCATTGATTAGCCCCTCGAAACGTTACGGGGCCGGCTCGGTGTGGGCACAACCATGCCAACTGCTGTTCGAGAGCTCTTTCCAGATGAGTAATTCCGGAGCGGAATATTCGATGACGTACGACCCGAGACTTAGACTACGTAGCGCGCTGCGAATGCTACATCAGCGTGGAAGAATCAAGTGGTACCAAGATAGCAACCACATCCGAACCTGGATAGAAAATGGCATGAGGTCCACTGCCGTGGAATACTCTCCGCAGGTGGAATGGAGCTCACACGAGCCACCCCCGCAGACTTCGGTTTCAAACATGGTCGAAGGGCCTGGAGACGAAGGTCCTGGGGACGAAGGGTCTGGCTCACACGGAGTGCTGTCTGGTGTCATCGACTTGGTGGGAAGGGCTCTCCGGTGGCTAAGCTGCTTTCTTGCGCTCTCCGACGGCTTGGAAGCGGAGGCCTTCAAACTGTTAATCAAGATCAGAACCAAGATCAGAACCAAGGTTAGTGACCAGGGGCGAGGATTGCTGTTACGCCACGAGGTTCCCGGTTGGCTAGTGCCTTTCTTAAGGAAGGGGGCCGAGGACCGGCTGTGTCTGGCTGACGTGGCAGCGATCCACAACCGGATGGCTGAAGAAGCGGCAAGGCTTTCCGCTGAGTCGCCCGAAACGGTGGAGCCACCCGAAATGGAAACGGTGTCACCACCGGAAGCTGATCTCTGGGCGAACGACTGTGCCGCGTGGTTGAGCGCGTACGTGCTGGGCAAGGTCATGTCCGACTGCAGTCTGTTCATCGGTGCGACCAGAGTGCACGTCGTCGACACCGGACCAAAGCTAGACATCACCACCAAGCTTGAACGCTGGCATGTACGCACGTGGCGGTGCAACGCCGTCCCGTCTCTTAACTGCCGCACGAGCCACGCTTTGCCCTGATAATGAGGCTTTTGTGAAGTCCGATGATTCGAGTGTCAAAACTCGGGGCGGTTGAAATGAGTGATGTCAAATTTTGCGTCAGTTACAAAAATTAATCGCAACAGCTATCACGCGCCCTAGAGCAATGATTCGTTGGGTTAAGAAACAATCCGGCTACAAGAAGAGACTGTCGAGGTAACGTGATCTATTCATGGGCGGCTCCCCGGCAAGGGGCCCATGGTAAAACGCGAGCTGAGTGACATGTAAAGCATCGTCAAAACTACTCTTTTGTAATCTCCTGCATTCAAAACCGCACTGTGTCACTTTGTACCCTCGTCTCTTAAACGCGGTATAATAGCGTATCAGATCTTCCGCGTAGGTATTGATGTGGTTGATCGTGCCCCATCGAATTTTCTTGCCCGACGGAGCAGTGACATTGGCCCAGAACGTCGCCTCAGGGCAATAACAATCTGCCCCTGAAATGCGCGGCTCACAGTGGTCTTCGTACCTTTGACTACAGCCGCTCTGTCCATAGTAGTCTAGTCCGGGATATGCCAGCCCTACGTCGTGTATGTGTCGTTCACTACTCCGGAAGGGGTCTTCGCCAATAGACTCTGTTAGCACCCATCCGCGCTGCAAATATTTACGATAGGCTACCAGCCTTTTGTTGCAGCGGAAGGAGCATTTGGAGGGTTTCAGGCGATGGACAACTGCCTCCCAGACGGTGGGGAAATCGAACCTGTACGGAAAACCAAAGCTGTAGCACTCCGATATCGAGCTCCGGTCATCTGTACAGATGACCCAGCCTCCGCTGTCAGCACAATCGGACCAGTCGAGCTGCTCCCAGCCGTTCATGGTTGCTTCTATCAGTGGTGCCTTGAGATCAGCGAATGCCTCCCTACACGATCCCGCCTTCAGCACAGCTAACTCCTGTGCTGAAATCATTGATGCTCCATCGAATGGGGGCTTGATAGGTCCTACGCCACACTTATCGGCACCGGAACTGACGCACTCGGAAGCGTTCCTGACGAGCACGATAGGCGTTGCAACGTCGGACAAAGTAGAGTGGTATCCCGTAGCGTCGTGGTATATCGTAGCGTCCAACGGAGTAGGGCTATGGGTTGCAGCATCGGACGGAGTAGGATTGTACGTGTACTCTGGCCCTGAAACACGGGCACTGGAGTAGCCATCCTGGGATCCGTTCAAGTAGGAGTACAACGCCGCCAACCCCACACCGCTTACAACTCCAAGACCAAACACACCCACACCTTTGGCAAATGTTGGTGTTAGCCACCAGCTTCTGGTATCTTCGTGAATGTACTGGCCTTCGACCTCAACAACATAGTCCTTCGGCCCCGAAGTCTTGATTATTG